TGATAAATATACTGTTTCATCATTTTATGTAGAAGTTGCCTTAACAGCCTTTCAGTTTTATTATGAATAAGTACATACTGTTACCTCAGTATTTAAAATAGTCCCTAGCTGTTCTTAATGCAACCAGGGAATAGCACTCAGTTGACGCAATTGTATCAAGACAACTAAAGGTTATTAAACTCATCAAAATAAACATGGAGAGAAAACACTGACTTTGCACATTCTTATGACTTTGGTACAAATCCTGGAGTGTATTATAAACTGGCCTTTACAACCTACGAGCATATACTGTAAGTCAGAAGGAAATAGGAATTCCCTAGGGATGCTGTCCAAGGAAAGAATAGTAGCCCCTGTGGAGTCACTCCCCCTAAGTCAAGCTGCCGCTGCTGCTGAAGCCACACAATGAATCCTTCTGCAACTGGAATTTCAGCTGCCATAATCCCTTGCAGAATGTTGTCTAATTATTTTATTATGCATAATAAATGTAAAATATTTATTTTAGTTTACATAATTATATTAAAAATGCATACTATTCATTCTCAGTGTTGCAAGACATCCTTCACAAGTCATATACTTTACAGAAAGGTGCATTTGTGGAATTAATGCTGTTTTGCTGGCATAGCTGTTTATTTTATAATGGTTCTAAACTCTCTTATCTACTATCATGAAACATCACCAAACCTGTGGATGTGCCTTTCCATTCTCCCTTCTCCCCTAGGGACATCTGTAAAATAAAACCATGTAGCAGAGTCCCAGAGGAACAAGAGCAATTTTCTTTAATTACAGAACAGGCTGGTGTAGAGTAGCTTAATGTACTTGCCCCACAGTCCCGTGGACAAAGTTGCACCAAAGATGTGTCTATACCACAGAACTAAGCCAGTGTTATAAATAATAAATAACTGATAAATTTATAAAACAATAAATAATAAATAAATAAATCATTACTGCCTAAGAAGCTGAGATACACATGTGGAAAGGTAATACTGATAGCACTTGGCTTTAAAGCCTAGCATATCACTAAAATTAGATACCTAATTACTCAGGAATTCTTAATTTAGACATCCCCCCTGAAAAAAAAAAAAAAAAAAAGGATTTGGGACTTTTAAATGCCGCACCTTTCCTTGACTTCAGAGGATGCATGGGAGTTCAGCACTCCTGAAATCAGGTCGCACTCAGGTGCCTAAACTGCTGCCCTGGAATAGGCAGCCAGGTTTGAGCAGTGCGGCCTCGGAGCACACAACCCAGTTTCAGAAATTAGTTAAGTTCACAGATATTATCCAGTTTCGGGAGCTTACGGGACTCCTTGTTTCTTACTGTGCCCATTACAAAATGCCAACAGTATTTTTGTCACTATGACTCTTAAGATCATGTAACCTAAAAAGTTTAGCCACATAACACACCTTTCTAAAACAGCACAGAAATGCAAGCAAGGAATTGCATATGGATTGATGCGCAGGGCCCTATGAGACCAATTTTGTATTATAAAGTCGTGGGGAACATTAATTAGGAGTGAACGAATATTTTCGTATGACGAAGAACTGACTTAAGAATGGAGAGACAGGCTGTGATTTGAGATAGTAAGTGCACAGGACAAAACTAGAATAGCAGTTTAAACTTTTAATAAGCTTTTTTTTATGAGATAGATTTTTTTTATGAGATAGGATTTTTCTTCCTTCAAAATGAGTTAGGTTTTAAAAAATAGACTGAAAGTATAATTTCAAATTATGATCATTACTAGGAACTAGACACTGCTGTTATAGATAGAAAAATCGTAAGTTCATTTCTTTGTCATCAATAAGCTACAGATTTAGAAAATATAGATATCACCTGACCATAGTACAAAAAAGCAGAGATGGAAGATAAATTTTGCAAAACCATTTCACTATAGCCATAAACACAGATTCTAAAAGAAACTCTGTAAAATAAAATTGCCCCTGTTTTCTTTTTGGAAATATGCATAGTATTGAGATTGCATAATTTGTGAGACAAAAAACCCTAGATTAGTTTATTATTCACTTGGGAAAGCCACTGCAGTTCATGGCCTTTCCTAGTTAAGAAAAGAACTTCCCTTGCTGACTGAGGGTTATAAAGAATAAATTTCCTTTTCTGTTCCATGCAGCCAAAATCAATCTGTATCCCACAGTCTACTCCACTCATTTCTGCTGCTAAGAAAAATAAGCTGAGTTATAGGGGCATGTACAGTCACAAATGATCCACATTTTAGTAGCAGTTCCTAAATTCAGATTTGCTTCTTTTAATAGCCCTTGTTTCTGTACTTCTTGCCAAGGTTAGTTAGCCTTTCGTTCACTTGTCTGGCAAGAGTTTTTTGCAGAATGATTGTTCACAATTTCTTCCCATTGAAAAGCTTGAAATTGGTCAGCTTGAAGAACCCTTTGAGCATTTACCAGCTGAACAGGAATAATTACGAATATCTAGTATTTAGGCACTCTCTTTTTCAAATGTCTCAAACCACTTTATCGTTCAGAGATCACTTCACCCATCAGTGAAAGGAGATGCTGTGATGGCACTAACAATATGTTACTCCATATCCAAACACAACATGCGGAATATTCATCTCATGAAACTTCAAAGGTCATGAAAGAGTCTGTAGTTGCCAAGCAACATCTGAAGTAGTCTCGATGAACTTACAGCACCATGGCTGCGCTGAAATCGCCAAAGGGAGAGCGCCACCACGAGACATGGGGGTTAATTTTATTACCAGATCTGCAGCCTTTAAAACCTTGAAGTCATGTTCTGCATGGCTGACACAGAGTAGACAGTCTGCAGAACTGGTTTGAAGAACATTACTTACTGAGTTGCTAATACCTTCTCTTCATGAAAACAGATAGTAGTAGGTGAGCTAATAAGCAGGCAACATGTGATTCCCTTAAAAATATAGTGAAAATAAAGAGGAAAAAATGTCAGAGGTGGATACAGTGAAAAGCATTTATCTGTCAACCAGCCTGGCTAATATCCCAGGCCTGTGGAAACTGGCAGCACAACTAGGACCACTGGGCTAAGAAACACAGGGCCCCACTGCAGCCTCCGGTTGCAGTGCAGCCCTCATTCCTGCAGCCTGGCCAGGCGTTTTCCATCCACACTCAGAGGAAAATCTTTGCAGAATCAAAGCTGCATAACCTGAGGCCTGCAGGGATCAGCTTTCAAAGAGTAGGTTGAAATGGGCCTACGATGGAAGGAAACTATCCTGCTATCACAAAACAATGATTTTTCAGTACTATAGAGGCTCAAAGACTTCCTGGTAGTCCCAATAAAACATGTAAGTGGCCTTTTTTTTCTTCCCTAGTAACCTTGAATATAATTTAACACCAGCAAAATCCTATAATTTCCTGGAATTCCCACCCCATACCAAAACTTATCCCTCTGAAGAAAAACACCCAGCCGTTGTGCATGGAGCCCCCTCCGGAGGGGAGCACTCACGGCTATCAGCGCCGCGGCGCTGCACGAGGGCAGGGCAACGTCTGCGCCCCGCGCTGGGGGAGCAGCGAACCCCCAGGGCAAACCCGGCTCACACCAGGAGCACCCCCATTCACGAGCGGCTCCAAATCAGGAGCTGAACCCCACCATAACCCAGGTCTCATTATCTTGCTCTGTAATAGGATTATTCCTTCCTGTTGGAATGGCTCATGAAAGCGGACAACCACAGGACTGAGCATCTCCAAAAATGCGGTGCCAGGAAGGCAGCATCGCCCAGGGGCCTTGGCGTCACTGCTGCACCTCCTGCCACACTGACTGTGCTCCCTACAGGCTGCCACGTCCCTCAACGCAGATCTTTTAATGTGACCATTCTGAGGAACACAAAAACACATAGTCGTCTTAGAGGACTTGGACATGGGCTAATATAACTCAAATTTTTGCACTGGAACTGTACAGATTACTGCAGAAGTTTTCTATCCAGAAGCTTTCTTTAAAGTAGATCATAAACAATGCTAAATCGGATATTGTGAGAGTGGCTAGCTTTCATTATACAGTGTAATGTTAGGAAACTACATTAAAACATATACTAAAAGAACATTATAGATGTATGTTTACCATTGAAAAACAAAAAAGTTATAGTGTGTTATCAGATGTCTGACTTCCCCTGCTTGTGCACATAAATAACAGCGCATGCATCTATTTACACAGTCATATATCCTCTTTTTAAAGAACCTTCTGAACCTTAGATATTGTAAGATCCTTATGAATGACTTCTTTGATTTCTTTTATAATGCACATAGACTAGCCGAAAAAAGTATTCAAGGTTGTAGAAAAAAACACATTTACGAAGTAAGAAGCAACTTAAGAAGCAGTGTGAGATCTATTCTAATAACTATTCTATAACAAACATTATGAACACATGGGATGAGCACCACAAGAATTCTTAATAGTTCATAACAGTGATTTTTGAGAGCTTAACTGTACTGTCATAATAGGATGCGTTTTCATGGTGTGACTTATGAGACTCTGCCACACGGCCACCCTACATCCACTCTCATCCAATAAACTTGGCTGGCAAGGAGAAAACTCGAGCAGAAACACCACCTACCACAGCACTTCAACTAGCTCCAGTTGCCTCCAGTTCTGTTAAGTGTCTGATGAATATTTAGACTGCTAAGCCTTTTAGGGGACTTTTCCTTTCTTAGTGGAATGGTTGCAACTCAACCGAGAAAAATTTCAAAAGTGCAACTGATTTGAAAAGGCAATGCAGATAAGTAGTCCCACCATGGAGAATTCTAACAGACACTAGAGCAGCTGTGAAACAAACACTCAACATTAGCATCGCAGTGTTGCCACTAAAAGGTTTCCCATCATTTGTTTTTCTTTATAAAGTAATACCTAAATACTGAAGACCAAGTTTTTAAATTTAGCTCCTAATTTAATATGCAATTACTGCTGCACTGATGGTGTTTTAATGGCAATATATTTTTATTGGTGACTTCAAATGAACCTCGTCTGATCACCTTAACCCTTCTTTCATCATGCTTTAGTTAATGACTCATTACCTGTAGTCACACCAGGGACATCTGTAAGGCTTCTCTCCAGTATGGACACGCTTATGTCGTGTCAGATGCGATTGTGTTGTGGAAGCAAAGTTACACTCATCACATTTGAACGGTTTCTCTCCTAGAAGATGACAAGAGAAGATATGCATTATCAGTTTTCATCAACAGAAAAGGAAGATAAGCCTGAATTTCTGGCAAGTCCCTTGAGCTAGATTTCAGTGCATGTATATCACAAAAGCAAATACAGAATACATTTCCAAATACAAAGTATTAATTACAAAATATTGTGCTCACTATGCTCACTTCAACAGCCAGCTGACTTCCTGGTGTTACTGCAGCAAAAAGGAGGAGAAGGACCTGCACTGAATCAGGGTGAGCATGGTATTTGGACCACATTCCATGAGAATGTCTTCACCAGCAGGATACAGGCATTCCTCTCATCTGGAATACCCTCTGGCTTCTACTGTGGCTGTGCCCGTGTACAGAGAAACGTTCCTCAAGACAGAAGGTAAGAAATGAAGCTGGGACATGTGTTCAGCACCTGCTCAGAAATGAACATCTCTGGGAGAATGCTGTTCTGGTCTTTGGTGTTGTTCTGTTCTGTTTTTGCCTCTGCCCCTGTATTTTAGACCTTGGAGTTGTAAGATAATAAGCATAAATAGACTGAGAGTTATTAAACCAGACCTCTGAGCTTCATCCTTCTTCTCTTGCTTGCTGTCCTTCTGAACAGTGGCTCAGTTTCTGCACAAGGACTTGAAAGGTTCATTGAATGAAAAAAGAAAACCCACTAACCTAAGACAATAGCATTACCAGAGGACTAAAATTCAATCTCTGATAAACTTGGAAGAACACTGCGAATTTCTATCTGACTACTAATTGAAGAAAAATGAAACTCTCTACCTTAGCTAAGAAACCCCTATGCAAATAGAGTACTATTTTCCAGCTGAGGGTCCACCCTTCAGCAGACACTAAAGCAGACAAAAACTTAAAATAGACAAATACACTCTGAGTCCCAGATAACTGCATCCAGGTTTTCTACCTGGTTGTGCCAGAAATTCTTGTGTGTGGCTTGCAGGTACATGTAATTACCATCACCAGAGGTTTATCTTTGTAGTCAGAAGACAGAAGGCAGCTCCTAACTTCTGGAGTCTTAGAAGCATTTTGAGGGCCTTCAAAAGTACTTATATTCTAAGCACTGCGTAAGGAGTCAACTTCCCCAACTTAAGCCTGAATAACACTGCCAGGGAGAGATACCTGCTTTGTAGAGTATTCAGATGTCCATTCTAAAACTGAGCTCCACATCCCTCAGCAGGTATAACTTGTGCATTTTCAGACGGCCAGCAAAAGATACATCACTGGAATAAGACATCACTAGCAAAAGACCACTCCCAAGGGGCCAGGCCTCCAACTCTGATTTTTCAGGCTTCCTCAAAACATGAGACACTCAAGACTTCACAAACACATGGCCAGAATTCTGAGAAGTGATAGAAATCTGCATTTTTCATTTGTTGAGATTGATTTCTTTTTCCCTTCCAAGGGAAAAAGGGTCCTTAGACCTGAAAAGTCTGGAAGGAAGAACAATAGAATAGCTGCTGAAAGCTCCATAAAGAGTTGGAATAATTGCTTTGAGCAGCTGCTGGAGAGAATTTCAGCTACTATTTTTCATTTATTGTTTCTCGGGACAAAGAAAGGTGAAGGGGCAGGCCACAATGCAGAAGCTTCTATGCTGGACAAATTGAGACTGTGAGGAAGGATGTCTTTCCTTCCCCAAATGGGCTTTTCTTGTCAGATACTGGCTCTCTGCTCTGAAGAAACTGATTCTCCCAGCAGCCTGAATGGTACTGGCTGCTTCTTCAGCTAAACTCTCTGGGAGGCCATAGGCTCCATGGCAACACAACCTGCTCTTGAACTACAAATTTTCTGTGCCCGATTTATTTTATCCTGTAGTATTAAAGAAGACAGCAACACTTTCAAGCCTAAGTAGCAAGGCTACAAGTATTTTAGATAACATACTGACTTATTTTAAGTGCTTTCATTGAAAATGCACTAGGACTTACTAACTGGCCCCCTTGCAAAGCAGCAAATCTGCACTTCAGGTTGATTTCAGGCTGCCGTTTTTCTGCAGGCTTCACCAGCCGGGCCCTGCTGCCGCGCTGGGGCAGCCCGCAGCACCTGCGCCCAGGGGAAACGCTGCCTTTGGTCTGCCTGGAAAACTGCACATTGCGGGAAAAAACCTGAAAGAAGAGAACTTAGTTGGATGTCGGTGGTGGGGAGAAGATTATTTGAGGAGCAGCAGCAGTACTTTTATATTCTCTTTAATTTTTGTCTTTCTTACCTTGAGGCCATAATCATCTGTGCCAGCCTGTGTTTCCCTAATCTGCCTCCCCACTGCCTGTCCCAAGACATCCCAGGCAAGGAACTTCAAATCCTTTACTGCTGCCTGCCATCAACCTTTCCAGGAGAATGTCTTCCCCTCATCAAGAGTCTGGTTAACATGAAATTGAAATAACATGAATTAAAAAAAAAAAAAAAACGCAATAATGGCAGTATTTTTTTAAAAAAGCCCCACTACATTTGACTTCTCTGTGCCTCACCTAACTTTAACTTTGTCAAAGCTAAGCCCATGAAAACATAAGATACGTGCCCCCAAATGGTCAACAAACACAACATTGTTATTTAAAAAATTGTTCTACATGTTTGAAAAAGCAAACCCCTATTATTTTGTTTATATCATTTTGTTGCTTGTTTTCCACATAAGAGCCTTCAAACAAGCACATTTCCTAGCCAGAAGCTCACAAAAGCTCACAAAAGAGGGAGTGATTTTGCTTTCTTAACAACAGCGCAAACAACATCTGAAAGGCATCAGCTGTCTGGGGCACCTGACATGGAAAATTTCCGTCCCAACAATCTGGAGTTCGGCAAAGCAGCTGAAAAAGGGTCAGATCATGGGGAGCACTGGACTGTATAAAGGCTGTTATTAAGCCTGCATCTTACCAGTGAGCTTCCTCCACCCTGCCCACTCTTTTCTTCTTAAAACATCATGACTAAAGCTTTCTTTTTCTTCAGCCTGTCTGAAAATGCCTCCTCCAAATTCTTCACTGACTTCTTTCGCATCTGTCTTAGCTTTTCTTCACAAATTACTGCTTGCTTTTTTCTTTCTCCTTCTTCTCCTTGATATCACCTCTTTCGATTTCCCTGTCTTTGATGATAAGCTTTTCAGGACACAGAGTATGCTTTACTGGGATCATAAATTTCTGTGTACAGTTTATGTATTCAATGTGTAATATTAAAAAAAAATAATATTAACAACAATTATAAATCTGGGTGACAAATACTGATTTGTTGGTGACAAAGTGATGAATTTATTTACAATCACGACTGTCCATGCAATTTTTACTTAGAGTGTACTTATCGTATATGTATGAATGTGCTACTGAGGACCCACTTTGATATAAATGATGGAAAAAAAATTAAATGGTGGTTTCCATTTGAAAGCTTTCAGGAATCAACCAGAAACTTAGCAAGATGGAAGAATTCTAACCCCAGGTGTCTCCCCAGGGAGAGGTGCTGTTTTTGCTCCTAGCTGCTTTTGGTCCTATTTGCCTTTCACAGGATGCACTGAGTGGGACCAAAAGAATCCTACCACGCGTTTGGGACCTTAGGAGTGAGGAGACCACAAAACACAGCCTTCCGCTTGTATCTCGCGGGACTTTTCTTACTTTCTGGCATTTGTTAAGGCTGCTCCCTGTGGGGGAGCTTACAGACTTCTTAAAGGAGCTTGAAATATTTTGAAGCAAATTCTGTTTCCTTTTAGTCTGATCATCACTTTTGCATTTAAGACATACAAAAATAAGTAAATCCCAGTCTTCTTGTAGATGTCATGTAGTTGCTACTCCACAGCAAAATACAGTTATAGTTTGTGTATTCAGAAATGGGAATTAAACTGTTCCACAATCCAACTCCTCTTAAGCAGGGAGAAAATTTTAAGATAGCCAAGGTTTTGGCAGTGTTTACAACCAAAAGTTTGTTAGAATTAAGTTCCACACTCTGCTGCAAATGTTTGTCTAAGTAGAAATAATAATAACAATAAAAAAGCACAGATCCTTTTCAAATTTCACTTCTCCTCTTTATGAAATGACTGTGAGACTCACTGTACTAAATTTTCTGTAGTATTATGGGGTATTATTACTTTTTTTAAGCTGTGGTGAGGAAGTTAAAAGGAAGAGGCTACATTATACATTAAATTCAATGCCGAGTAATGTAGCTACACATTAAAGTCAAAGTGCAATTCACATGAGAAATAGAAATACAAAGTGAGTCACTCATCTGGATAAAAACACATATATTATTAAATTTTCTTTCTTTATTACATTGACCTATAAATGTCTTGAGAAGTGCAAGACTGAAATGAGTGAACAGAACCAATCATACAAACAGGGGTCAGTATGATATAAGCTGTACGATAAGTACAATAAGCTTCCAAAATTCACAAACATATTTGAAAAAGACACATCTGCTCAAGCATTTCTATAGGTTCATGGTGACTCTCCAGAACTGCTGTGCACAGTAAGTGTACTTACCCTCTAATGCTCTGCTACTGTCATGTATGTTAATTTTTTACTTTTACGATTCCCAGCAAGATCCTACCACAAACAACGTATGAGAAGCAAATGTAAACCGCTATTGTGTACAACACGAGAATAAGGTTTTTGCAATTTACAGGACTACTCACTACTAACATAAAAAAGAAGTTTCACACAACAGAATGCATGATGTGCAATGTGACCAATCAGCACTGTTGCAGCAAGCCAACTACTACAGCACTAAATGGAAGTTTACTGGAAAAAAATGGACAGGAAGAGAAAATACCATGATGACACAGGGAAGACCAATAAAGGAAGAAAGCAGAATAACTATAAGAAAAAAAAAAGAAAAAAAATGGTGGCTGATTTAGAGGTTATTTGTTCATTTTTTAATAATAAAATCCAGATAATCCTACACTAAACTTTTTTTTTGAGGATTTTAACTAATTCTGCAGGCAGCCAGCATCAAAACTTTCAATATTATTTACTTTAAGATTTTCTCCCTGGGACAAAATATGAATTAAAAAAAAATGTGTCAGCAATTCACTCGTGAGGTGCAAATTTTTCCTCCCAGTCGCGCTGTAACATCAGAGCCCTTGCATACACCTTCTTGTAGCCTTGCAAGCTGGACTGTATTCGCTAAATGGCATTAGAGGCTATCTCAAGTGGATAACGTTTCTTAGCCCAGTTTCTACTCACAGCCTAGACAGCCACAAGTGCCTGTTTTAAAGCACTCACTCAACGGAGACAGAGCCGTAAGCACCCTCTGCAGGGTGATCAAGCTGCGGTCAGACTTTGCACCACGGGAACATTGTCAGGTTCTTGAGGCTCCCGTTGCTTCAATGGGTAGAGTAGAGAATCAGGCCACTGATGACAACAGAGCTGGCGAATGACTTGCTGCATTTCCCAGATTGATTTATTGCAGAATTGGACTAGAAGCAGATTCTCTCAAAGCACAAGATAACCCTAGGATGTTTTACTAGGACAAACTTGGTAGAAGACTTAGTTTAGTCACTGTTTGAAGTCTGCACTTCTCACAAGAGCGGGTTACTCATTAGGTGGATAACATATGTAGCAAAGAATAAGATGTCAATAACTGAAACACCAGTGTTTTCTTGCTAGCAAAAATTATTTTTTTTTCTCACTGTTAACATTCTACTTCACAGTTAAACAAACTTATACCAAGGAAATCTGTATGGAGAAGTATCACGTCTTTCAGGGATAATATTCTATTTACCAACATAATTCCTAAAGCTATGCTGCCCTGTGAGCCACCAAGGACCCCATTCTGCCCCTTGAGTTATACACTCTGCATAATATTGCCAAAGAAAATGCATCTTTTTCCAGGTTAAAGGCCATGTATGTAAAACAATCCTGTCTAAAACGGGGTGCATGGTAAAAAAAATATCAAGAACAAGAGCATCAAAAGTCTAAAAGGCCAGTGCTAAAGCTAGTCCCCTCATGTTGGCAGTCTGTGAGAGGAGCTGAGAGCCCCATGGGCACCAGGATGTCCCAGACCCCAAGGCTGCAACAAGTTGACATTTGTTGTGGCAGCCGAGGCTCCTCAACCACATGCAGGGATTAGCTCCTCCGCCCTTGAATCAAGGGTCTCTCACGGGTGATCAAAGTCACCCATCACTTTGGAGGGGAAGTTGTTCTGTATCAGCCCCTACACAGTCTGCATTACAGCAGAGAATTATATAAGCCATTTAGACCATTTTTGGTACCTATCTCTTTCAAATCTGATTGTAATTTGCTTTGGCATTCTGTTCATGGAAAATTGTGTCAACCATGGACAAAGTAAAAAAAATATTGATACAAGAGGAGTGAGGTGCATGCTGCTAAGAAGTGACAAAGTTGTGCACTGCATGAAAACACAGGGGCACACACGTAGGTGCAAAAACGCAGTCAAAGGTGGATTGTGTCATTCTCCTTGAAACAAATAGCAGCTACAGATAATTTTTCTGCTAAAGAATCATCTCTGATTGTTTGTGCCACAGAGGCAGATAAATGCCAAAAAGATAGATCCCTCTGCCTCTGAGATACTGTCCTGTATAGTATAAAGTTAATAGCAAAGTAATAACGAGCCTGCAGTCCTGACATAAAATATAAAGTTATGCCTGCTAGATGCAAGCTTCATGATCTATAACCTGTGAATCCCTGTGATCATAGCACAAAAATCTTCACCACAGTGGCAAAATGAAGGGCAAAATGCCATCCAAAACCCAGACAGCTTTTCACCAGGAACATATGGTATTCTCAGACATTTTCAGGTACTTTTAGACATAAACCAGGAAACATAATTTATTTCCTAATGACCTGTGGCCTAATGGCACACGCATAAAATATAACCTATGATAGCTTGCATTTCTGAGAAACCACATCTGCACTCACGTAGGTTAGAATACACATTTCTTCCACTTTCCCATTCTAAAATAATAGTTAAACATTATTTGGTTAACCCTGGTTGCCCTGACTATGAGTCCTAGTGCCTGACATGATACCGGTGTTATTAGTAACATACCAGGACATGGCAGGACAAAGGATAGTTCCCATCATATTGATATCAATGATTTACTCCTTCTCAAACCTTAAAAACAAAAAACAAAAGTGATTTTCTTTATGAGTCCAGATCGGGTGAATTTCAGCCAACGTGTGATTTTTTTTTCAAAGCTCCAAAAAAAAGAAAACCATTGGTTACAAGTGAAGCATGTAACTATCATTCTGGTGGTTGCACCTGCTCTTGTCATCATTCAGAGTGTGCCACACTAAATGAACCTACAATATGTACTAAATGACTCTAGTTGGACATTTTAGGAACACAAGCATCATTCAGTGAATGGCAGCAGCAGCCCTCTCTCAGAAAAGTGCATCAGAAGAAAAATTCTGTAACGTTAGCATAATCACCAGGGAGAATTATGAGCAGAATCTGGCCTTGCACATTGTTATTTACAGCAAATCCATTTCCAGTTATTGCCAGCTCAGCAGTAGAAACTCCACCTTTTTGTGAGTATCAGACTCTCCTCCAAATATGGTTGGCTTAATAAACTGAAACCAAGGTGGAAAAAATGGCTTCGGGCTCCCAAGAAAAGAGAAGAGCTGCTTTCCAGGAAATTACACACTTCGAATGGGGTATGTCCTGAATCAGGATTAGTTTATTCAAGGACATAGTAAAAACTTCTACAGATATTCCTTCACAAAAAATCCATGGAAAAAATCACGATGTGACAATTACAGCTTCCTATTTCCTAGCCATTTCTTTCCACTGTACACTAGACAATAGTCACTGAACTCACACTGTAAGTCCTGGTGATGTTATACTACCCTCATGCTAGTCAGCAAAACAAAAACCACAGTGGTTTAAGCAGTAACACTTCTGAGTCTGTTTGAACAAAATCTATTCAAATAATCAAACACTTTACTAGGAGCTACTGAAAAACACAATTAAGGTAAAATGTATTACTAAATGTTTAATACTTACACTTTTTTAGTCTTTGAAGCCAAGAACCAATTTAATTTTATCTGATATTAAATTTTTATAACCAGGTGGTGGGAAAGCTTTACTAATTCTGTGAGAGAAATCCTGCTTTACATGCTAACCATGTGGTAACTCTTAAGGTTGTATCTATTAGCTACAAACTATCTTAAAATTGCAAAAGGGCAACTGAAACAACACTAGTTTTCAGCTATGTTTCAGTCTAAAATAATGGATTAATCTATATGTGGTCTCTAATTTTCACCAAGGGACATTCTAGCAGACTCTTGCAAAATCTTCACAGTAGGTAATCTATTTGGGCCTTGAAAAAAAATAAACAGTACACTTAGCATTCATTTAAAGAAGAAACCCAACCTTTATAATTCTACTTTCTTTAGAAAAAAAAGGCCCGAAATAGCCGCCAAAAAGCAATTATTGAACCTTGCAGCTACCAGATTCGATACAGACCTGTATCGGGCTGTATTGGGATCTTGCAAAACGACAGAGCAAAGCAAACAATGAGCCGCGCTCCTATTTGTGCTGCAACGTGCTACTTGACTTGCTTCACTCCCTAGCGCGGAGATAGTCCCTGGCTGCAGAAAACACCCCGAGGAGTAAAGGCAGCTCCACTGACCTGTGTGCTGCCTGCGGTGCTTGGTGAGGGCATGGCGCGTCCCGCCGGCGAAGCCGCAGAGGTCACACAGGAACGACTTCTCGCCTGTTGCAACAATAAACAGATGAGGGACTGCGGAGGTCACAGATCATTAAAACATATCTATCAAGGCTTTCAGGGTTACTAATTCCTCCAATCAAATGTTTCCATGTAAATATGTCAAATGGGAATGAAATTACCACTGCGGTTTATTGACTGTGATAAAATCTGAAAAGCACCACTGAACATAATTACATACTTGTCAGACCCATAAAAATTAGCTTTATTATCAATGGAATGGTTTTGTACAACTTCATTTCTGTTAGATGTCTTCCAGATGGGGCTGCTTTATGCACTTGAACAGTTTTTATGCATATCCTGATTTTTTACAATTCCCATACATCTGGCCTTTCTGTGCTGAGTAAAGATTGCCTGGAAAAAAAAGTTAATATAGTGTATATATGATTCTGCTTAAATAAAATATATTGAATTTACTAACAAATTAAGGATGCTGAGAAATTTTCAACAGACTAGATCACAGTCATCTTTAGTTACCTTCTACTTATTAATAAGTATTAATTTTTTTTTTCCTGGAATATACCGGAGAGCCCAGGCAACAATAAAAGCCGTATTATTCAGTACCAGTGGCAATTCGGTACTGTTTATGTTTGTAAAACTTCCATGACATAAAGAAAACAGGTCTGGGGACTGCTACTGCAATTGCAGCAGAAACTCGTACTGTTCCTCTTCGAAGGATAATTTTTCCTTCCAAACCGCTGGAACAATCTGAGAGAGTTTGGCAAGCTCGCTACTCATTAGAAGTGTGCAAGTGCTCCAGCTTTAGTATTTTTATACAAGCTAAGCTTTTGCCCTGTTGCTTATGAACACAATCTATCATTTCAGAGCCACGTTCTCACGCGGGGTGTGCTGCAATGTGCGCAGCGACTGTGCCCTGAAAGGGCGGCACGGGGGGCCGCTCTGCAGTAATAGCGCTGCCCCACACACCAGTGGCACCTGCAAGAGGCTCTCCAGAGGAGAATCACTTGGCTCGTCTGCAGCCAAATCGTGCCCTGCCTCAGCAAGCCAGCGGAGAGGAGACCAGCGGAGCAATGACGCTGAAGTCATTGGAACTAACAGTCTCCTTCAGATCCTTCCCCGTGGGGAAGGAAATTTTCCTTCTACGAAAGCTGACTGGGATAAGAGGTCAGGTGCCAGATTACTGATACCTCCCATGAAGGCAGCAGCGAGGAGCCTCCACATCGCTCCTTCCCACAGCACCAGCTCCACTCGCGCGCGGCCTTTCCCGAAAAGCCTAACGCCCTCCTTACCATTCCTGGGAGGAACGGCATCCCGGAAGGATAGCATTCCCACAGGAAGGGGGTTTGCTGCCCCGGCCCAGCACCGCGGCGCCCGCGCCGGCACGAGGAAGGCGACGCCTCCGCGTCTCCCTAAGAGCCTCAACTGGCGCTAAAATGGCGTCGTAAAAACCCTGACCAGCCTCTAGCGGGCAGCTGGGCTTCGAGACACAGCAGGCACGTGTTAATGCATCTCACAAGTGAGCCAGCTATAGGCATCGTTATTTCATACACCAAAATCTGGGAAAAACTCAGACTGAAATTGTAGCTTCACTTTTTTTTTTTTTTTTTTTTTTTTTAAATATGGCCCATGATATGAGAGAACTAGTCCAAGACAGCACCTAAAGTGCTGCAAAATATTTCTGGTACCTCCTTTTTAGGAACCAGTCCTGGCAATTTGTGATTATGGTAGGATTAAAAAACAAAACAGAAAAAGCAGAATAAAAACCCAGCATAACTAACACACTCTCACATCAGTTTTCAGAGGCAAGCTAGTATCTGTTCCATGCAAAAACTGCATATTAAATGATGTATCAAAATCTGAATATTACTGCAAATTGTCGGTTAATATTATCACTGCAGATGTAATATGGAATTGTTACACAGAGATTTCTACATAATCTCTTTTCTCCGTTATTTTTTGTATCAGGAGTTTCAGCATGCAGAACTTGAGTTCATCAAAATATCAAAGAAAAGGAGTGGGAGGACTATAAATACGGCTTAATTATAATTAATTAAATATTAATTAATTAATCAATTTTAAGTATAAATCTTTCTAACTAGCTGTAACACCTAACACTCCAGCATAAAATTCACACTTGAAAGTTAAATGCTGCTCCATGCCTACCAAGCCGTTGTTCATCATCTATATGTTGTCATAAATCAGCTCATGTTGCGTTTACATCTCCGAGCAGACGTCAGCGCGGCCAGCAGCTCCTTTTGCTAATGAGGACGCAGAGCAGTTCTGCGCGCGTCCCTCTGTACTGGCCGCTTTATATTTGGGCTTGTGGAACAGCAGATACAAATGTTTCAAAACCAAGCAACAGCTTTGAAATAGGGAAATTCCTGCATTTCCCTATACATCCTGCAAAATAATTTGCTGGTTAAATCCTCTGCATTCACCCAGGTCTAATCTGGGAGTCTAATTTCCTGCAGGCAGAGCTCTTGAGCAGGTCAGTGGGGCTTTGGCCCAGGAAACACCAGGCTGAAGGAGACTAGGTCTCTTTTTAAGCTCAAGGAAGGGGGTGATGCATTTAATTTTCTCCAAGATTCACTTTCAGACATATTAATGAATTAATTACGTATATGTGTATGTATCATGGGATATGCACAAATCCATCCATCTATACAAATGCACACACAAAACTTCATTACCTGTGACTTTAAAGTTGAACTGCACAGTATTTCTTAGCTGTGAAGCTTAATGTGGGTGGAATCCCTCACATCTAGATGTAATATTTCATTTGAGGTTATGAGTGTGTATTGATACATAGATGTATTTTACATTCCTCTGGATATGCTTAACAATTTTATCATTCCAACTTCAGAATTTGTGACTTTTTAACTTTTAGGAAAATGTAAAGGCAATATTTCACCTGCTGTACAGGGGGCTGATCTAACTTGCCATGTTTATATGATAGCAGAAATGCAATGGAAAATGGTCCCTTTCTTAACAACTTGAATTAGTTTCAAGTGCGCCATTTTGCATTCAAATGTAGAAAGACACGGAAACCAATCCTTTATTTTCTATTAGAAAACAGCCACTGTCCCCTATCTCTCATTATGGTGCAGACTACAAGACCTAACAACAAAAATCCATATTATTGATCTAGCCAAGTCTCCACAATTATTCTTTAGAAGGAAACGCCGACGATAAATTACATCTGCACTGGCTTTTCATCTGCTGTTCGATATAAGTGATCTCTCAGGGCAGGCTGGAGACCTTAAATCGTCAACACCCTTGTCAAAGAAGCTAAGGAGGCCTGGGCTTCCCACAAACAGCTTTGGAGGAACTTTTAACCTACAGTTTCTAGCGATAACATAGATTTTTAGAAAACAGGGAAGGAGCTGTTCAGGAATAACAAACAAATATTTTTATTCCGAGTGAAAACATCACATTTGATCTCTGCAAGAAAATGACCAGGCTGTAAACACAGCATAATTTTTTCTAAGTCTCTTTTTTCGCTTTCCCAACCACACACGTCTAAGTTCCTAGAAGAGCTCAGATAATGTAACGTCAACCTTATACTGCTTTTCTTTATGTACTATAATTATATGAAGCCTAATAGAATTTCAAAATCTGCATTCCATACATTTATTTCTTCTGAAACCGATGTCACATATTGGTTGTATGAAAAATGATATTTACTGTTATTAGCACTGAATGGTATTTTTAAGGACTTCGGCGTATTTCACAGGCACTTATTTTCTAGACACTGCACTTGTCACAGCTTAAATTTTATTTAACTTCAAACCTAGAATTAACAATGCCTGTTCCCTCGCTAAAGGTTCTGTATAACTTAAATCAATTAAAGCACATATTTTACAAAAATGCTCATTTGACCCACCTGAAATTCATCAGCAAATCTGATTTTTTTTAAGTAATTATGGTTCTCTAAAAAATAATCAAGCTTGTATTTCAGAGAGTATTTAACTAGAGTGTACAGCCAAACGCTCACACAAGACTGTAAGGAGAGATGAGTCCTATTCAAAATAACAAGGGTGAAGAGCTCGTTGCTTCTGTTTCGCCTGCACCTGCACTGAGCTTACTGAACTTCACAAAAAAATTCAACTATTTTTTTTTTATCATTACCAGAGCTCTGTCTGCCATTTAAACAATAAGGGAAGAGTTCCCACAGACACATCCAAGAGCTTGGGTAGTGTTGCCTGTGGTTTTACTTCGTCAACGAAATGAAGTAGGCTTGAATGATCATCCCAGAAAGCTCCCTCACACCTAACTGAGATTTCAAAATCATTGTGTTGCGGAGCACTCTTCCCCCTCTCCGCCTGTGGTGGGACCCATACTGCAAGCCCACTCTAAGTGTAATTATCTTCCTACTTAGCATGGGCACAATCACTCTGGTTTGACTGTCCTCATCCAGACGGGATCTTTTTTACTCCCCTAGTCTCAGGGAAAGCCGCTCTCCAAACCTGTGTGCGTCCTGAAGTGGTCCTTCATGGCCGAGGCGGTGAGGAAGGAGTAGTGGCAGGTAGGCCAGGAGCACTTGAACGGCTTCTCGCCCGTGTGCAGCTTCATGTGGTTGTTGAGCGCCCACTTCTCGGTGAAGCTGCGGTCGCACAGGTGACATGTAAATTTCCTGGGGAGACAAGCGGGGAGCAATTAAAGGCACCGACCGAGGAACCCGGCGTGTTTGTAACCTGGAGTGTGGTAAATGCATAGGCTTTCGTGAAGAGAATTGCAGGCCGGGTCTGTCATGTCTGTATAACCAGGCATTGATTTTTCTGTCAAGGCCTGGCACTTCAGCCATTTATTCTCTGCTTTGCGGTTGGGCCCAACGGGTTTGAAAAATTCTGTTACAGTCCAGTCACCCCTGAGGCAAATGTGAGAATAGATTTCACCTGTGCAGGCCTCCACCACTTATCCAGGGCACGGGCTGTCAGAGCAAAGGCTAAATGAAAAGCTATCCATACTAAACTACTCAGACATCGCTCCGCTCTGTGCCAGGCTGCGGCGGCGGCAGCGGCAGCGCAGGCTTGAAATACTGCTTGTAATAACACTGTTACTATAATAAACAAAAACTGCTCCAAAACGAAAATGCTGCTTTTAAAAGGGGCTACAAAAAACGAAGGAAGTGTTTTCTGATAATGTGTTCTCCTCCCCAGTGCTGCCACAGGAAACATAAAAGATCCCAATCACGAGAAAGAGGAAAAAAGAGCAGGCAATTCGTTCTGCTGAGCACAACCATCTTAGCTCTTTGCTGCAGAAGATAACTTTATAATGCCATGTAAAGCAAGACTAAATCTGAGGAAACCTCACTTCGTATCTAGATGTTCGTGCTGAGATTTTTGCTAAAGCAGAAACTACAATTCAGACGTTTGTGTTTTACAACTGTAATATAACAGTGGAGAAGGCTCCATCCCCTGTTCTCGTTTTGTTCTATCAGCCTCAAATTGCACCCTCAAATTATGCCACGCTGCCTTAAATATAATCTAAATTTTTTACGCTGACAAATTTTTAAAAAATTAACAAAGAGATTCAAGCCACAAACAATCTTTTGTTATCATCTTGCATGACATTTTTAATGTTTATTCATGTTTTGCCAGAATAAAATGAGCCTTCTCTGCTAATAAAAAAAAAAAAGAAAAATAAAGAAAAGAAAAATCTATCTCTGTATACAGATATAAAAAACAGAAATGCAGATCGACAGTCAAAATAATTCCCTAAAAAGATAATTAATCAACCTAACTGTATACCTGTCTCAGCACAGACAATGTAAAGCATTAGGTTAACTTTAATACCAGGATAAGTGGCTGACGCCTATTGTATGTGCGAGTTCACTTATTTAGCATGTGCAGAAGCATGCTACAGGCCTGTTAATTCACAACAAGAACAAACAGTGAGACCCTTATTATGTGACACTGATGATATTATTTAAATGTTCAGCATTGCACTGTAAAAGTCCTTTTTCTCATTTGGGAAAAATTCCTTCGGAGACGCTGCAGGAAGGGACCGTGCTCTGCTGGGGAGAGGCAGCGCAGGTCAGGAGGTGATGACAGAGAGATATGACCGCGGTGTCAGTAGGTCGCCTTTATAAGGAGAGTGTGGATTTCACCTCTTTTCTACCACGTCTACGTTCCTTAACCATACAGAACAGGTCATTTAGCCTTTACACAGCCAGAACTAGGCTATCCCACTAAAGAATATGTAGCAATAAATTTGTTGTATTTCAAAATATTCAGTGGTATTTTTGTAAAAATATTATTGCTGTCTGTAATCCAGCGATAATCTTTTCATTTTCAGCAGCAATTGTGCCTGCATCAGAAGTGCCTTTACTTCTGCCTGTCTAGACCTTTTTTCTCTTGTTTGTATTATGAGGTCTATCCTATACACCAGTATTAGCACAGATGCATTATTTTTGGCAGCACAAGCATCATGATGAAATCAGGTATGCCACTATCCATAATACATGGTTTAATACATTAATGCTATAACTTGCAATTAGTGCTTTTTTTTTCCAAGTACTATACAAAAAGAGCAATTTCCATCTATGCTTAATACAGCCAAATACAGATCTCCTTAAAGAATATATTTTAAAATAAATTGACTATCCTCAGCCATCTATTTAAGGAAGGCTATTTTCCTCGGAATATTAATTTCACAGAGACTGAAAGATAAAAGAATCTAGACTTGTGTACAGTTCTGCTACATCCCAGTGGCAAAATATACATATAATTTATATATACGTACACACACACATGCACACACGTATATATATATATGGATGTTTGCTGAATCAAAAACAGACTTTCAAATTACTATATCACTTGATCAGTGCTTAGTGGCACTAGCGAATGACAAATATAGCTAAATACTTCCAAATGCACAGTAAAAAAATATCATGTCCGTATATCTCCCTGACAGGTCTTCATGCATTTCACATTTCAAAAGCGTGACAGGGATCTTATTTCTAAGATAAATTCCCCTATCTACTTATTTCCTCGTGTATTTATTGTGAATCTAACCTTCTACTACAAGAAATAAATAAGCAGGTTAAGTAGGTGCTATCTTTTAACAAATAGTTTCCCCAGACTGTATTACAACTTTATGAATGACAAAATAAATCCCTCATTTTTAAATCCACCAAGATGTACATTTAACAGTATTGCACCTATTGAACCTCAATGTGTACTCTATTATTCACACACAATAAAAATGTTAAAATAACATGAAGAGTCTGTCTTTGAAGTGACAAAAGCCAGAAAAATCAGAATTAAAGCTGCAACTCCATCTCTAACTAATCCCCGTGTGCTTTGGTAGCAGTTTAAATAGAGTTTTTGACATTTCTTAAATTTGATTTTTATTGTTCTAGTTTTTGTATTCCTCTCCTTCAAAGAGCAAAAGATCAGAGGAGGCTACAGTGATCACTGCTAATAGTGACTTTTACCTCCATCAAGTTCCAAGACCCTGCAGCAGGTCAGGGACTTTAGTTTATGTATTTTCTTTAAAAAGAAAAAACGTTAAATTAAATCTGAAACTGTTAAATTAATCATTTTGTTCGTTCGTTTGTTTTCCAGGATTTGCAGACTTGTTCCTATTGTTCATGTTCAACTGTTGCACCAGAATTTTCATGCAAGAATTACTGATCTAAGTTTATGGCAGTATTTTTATGTTGAAAGGATACTGTTCAGTATTTTTATGTTGGGATCCTGTTCAGGCACGGGATCCCAACAGCGCCGATAATGATTTCCTGATGGATTGTGCTCACCCACAGCTAGTAAGAGCCATAATTTTCTTACAGGAAAAGGTGGCAGCATCTATCACCAGTTGGCATAGGCCGGCTGGCAGCAGCACAGCGCAGTTTAGGTGGAATGGAAGTGAGTGTGTAACCACCCAGATGTTAAATGGGAGTATTTTTTTCCACAGGTTTCCTAGGTTGCTCACACAAGCATCATAGACTGGAGAAGACTTTTGCCTGTCAAAACACATTTCCTTCCAAATTCCCTGGATACATGTTTTCCTTTGGAAAGTAACCTGTGTGCCTGAGCTCCGGCTCCACGACGGTGTCAGGGAAGCTCCGATGTTTCCTTGAGAGCTCCAGCACTGATGCAGTCAGTACTGTAGCTCGACCTGCGATGGCAAAAGCCCTTCTGCTTTTCCAGCTTACCTACAGCCTCGAAGCACTCCCGTGGTAGCCCCCACGTCTCTAGGCACAACACTGTGCCCTCATTATTTATTGCCCTTTGGGTTTGAAAATGGCTCAGAAGAACCCAGTAGCTGTGAGGCCTTTTGCAAACTTGTCTCCATTGTCTCAACATAGGTTAAGCAAAGCAAAACAAACAAACAAAAAACAAACAAACAAAAACAACAACAAAACATTTCCAGCACCGGAAAGTGGAATTTTAAGGACATACTTTTCAAAGCATTTAGGTACCTGTGTATGTGGCTGACTACCATGCCTCTGAAAATACCTCCAGATAGTGTTCTGCATGTACAAATGCCTTCTAAAAATGGTTCTAAATTACTTGAGCCAAAAGCACATGGATGTCTTGTGAAAAATGCAGCATTAGAATCTGATTTTCTGTGCTTAAAAATGGGCATATTCATATCTACAGAATGGGACCTCACTGTAGGGGTCTCACTACATTTCTTTGAAACTTCTTAAACAAATGAAGCAAAATCTAACAGACAGGAGGATAAGCCTAATCTACCTACAGAGCATCATTTATCTTGTCCTCTAAATAATGCAGGGATTTTGTGTATTATAAAGAGAGCGAAAGACCACTGAACTGAAGAGTACATGAAAATATGTACAAAAACTAGAGATTAATGGGGTTTTATAACCCACAAATGCAAAACTTACTGTTACAGCATAGTTTTTAATTTATAATCCCTTCATATTCTTAAGGAGACCACAACAAAAATCTCCCCAAATTTTTGTTCCCGTGGAATAAAAATTCCACGTTGTAGAATACAAATTTCCACATGATCCTTAATGCAGGCTGTATACACTTCATAAAACAGGTAACAGCTATCCTTTACTTGAACCAATGGAGGAAGAGAGCCTCTTTCCATTAGATTTCACCAAAATTTGCTGAGGGCACAAGAAATCTAATAAATCCTAGGTTAAACTCAGAGTTCTGGCTGAAAGCACACTGCAATTTATGAGCTCTTCTGTCCCTACATTATATTCCCTCTTCCCCTTTGTTTACTATTTCTTGATTCTGACTTCAAACATTTTTTTCTTCAAGCCCTCCATCCTACCTCCCACCTTTGCCACCTGCCCTGATACTACCTAAATCCTCCTAAGCCCATCCCATCTTGCTATGCTTATCCTTATCCCATAATGTTACCCCTTACAAATTTATACCCAACTGACAAACGTGTATCAAAGTGTAAGAAAATTAAATTTCTCTCCAAAATACACCGTATACCTAAAATTAGGAGGCATGAAATGGTATCTGTTCTTTATTTTCTCTTTGTAAGCCAGCATCTCCCAGGTAGGATTACACAGGAACCAGAGCGAGCTGGGTTTTTTTTTTTTTTTTCAAGCAGATGTTATGCATGAGAAACCATACAGACCTTGGGCCCTGAAATCTGATGAAAAGCTACATTTTTAAGACTTGAATCATTCAAAAT